AAATAAAATAAATCACAGGAAGTTGTATTTATAACAAATATACAACCTGCCAAATACATTATCTGGTGTTGAAGATCGTATTCAGCAACCTCAGTATTTCAAAGAAATCTCAAATTATCGAATTAACATAATGCATAATTTACATTCTCAATCTGCAGGTTATATCGCCAGTAACAGAAATATATTTAGATTAGCTTTGTATATTTCTGTTTGTTACTCTCCATATCCTCCTGATATTGAACTGTTTTTGCTGTACTTTTCTTTCTTCTATTTCTCGACTGTTCTCCATCACCATATTTTACAGTTTCTCAATCCACAAAGCAGATGAAGCAACAACTGAGACATCCAAATCCACAAACCCAATGACTCTTTTCTTTTGGGGGATTAGCACGGTGTGTTAATTCCCTCTCTGCTGTTTGAGGTGTATTACCAAAGTGCAAACTCAAGTCTTTGGTAATACGCTTGAGTTTACTTGAAGGTATTCCAAAAGGAATAAGCGTTGGCTCGGTTTCGCAGAGCACAGCTTTCCATTGTGTATTTTGAGTTCTGCTGAGGCTGCTGATAAAATGTTCTGTGCCTGAGGTAGGACAGCAGAGTGGCCTCTGTTCAGGAAGAGAGCTGGAGTAGACGCTGTCTCACAAACTTCCCCTCAAACTCTGCACGGGTTCATATTTTCCAAATATTTCTGTCTAAGGAACTAAATGAGTGGCTCACGTTGCTCAGAATGTTGTGTTTAGTATTAATTTTCCATGTATATCTGGTAGCTTTGCCACTTATTTTATCTTGTACATAGCTTACTTATTCCACCATTGTCACTCAAACAATTTTTGATTGCACTATTTTACTTCCTTAATTCTATATGTCTTTAAGTATATTGTGTGTTACAGTGTTGGCAGGGCACAGGACTTAGATAGTAATTTCCAACAACTCCGCTGTAGCTTTTGTGCACAATAAAACATTTGAATTGTTGAATTTAAACTTAAAATGGGATATGTGTCCCATACCGTGCACACCACTCCTGCGTGCAAGAGAAACATACACGAATGGTAACAGATCAGTGTTACCCAAAATGTTTTGTGGGTTATCTCATCAAATCTGGTATATCATATTATTTATATCCCCAACGGATATATATTTTAGAAATTCACATTCACTGTTTTTTGCATGTTACACAACCGTATTGACATCATTACAACTTAAGTGGTCTTGTTTCTCTGTATTACATCAAACGTATAGCAATGGATTTAATGAAGATTTCCGAATGTTTTATAATTGCCTTGCTCCTAATTTAAAACACAGTATATGCAATAATACACAGTACATGCTTTTGTAAATATGTGTTGTGGCCTGAGTTACTTGCTGAAAAAATAGTGTGTGTGTCTACAAGCAATTTGGGCCTATAAACGAGCATATGGTCACTTAAATTGGATTTACATTAAGGAGCACTCATTTACATTATGTTGTTTACGTTTTTGCTTTGCAGCTGCTGATTTTGTTACATGAATTTTTCTCATATTATTTTAGCCTAAACAATCCATGCAAGACTTTATGCTGAAACGACCAAGATTCTGTAATAACATAACCATGTTTTAATTATTAAACTGACTGCACGTCCATTGTGTCCTCATTTACTGCAATGTCATGTAGAGATTAACTGGTCCGAAACACAAACAGTTCAGTTGAAAATGGTGAATAAAAATATTTCTTGAATGAAGATGTTTTAATTACAGTTTGAATAAATGGTGTAATGGGCCTATAGACAAACGTGGAATAAAGTAAGAATATTAGGATACTCAGAAAACAAAATAGACATGCATGAAATATATAATAAAATGTTAATTACATTCATTTAAATACATAGATAATTTCAGTAATTCAAAATTCATTATGATACAGGAAATGCATGCAAATAGCAAGGCTATAATTTCTTTGGTGGCGTAGGCTGCTGGAAATGCTGTTGTCGTTGATAATAATAATGATAATAATAATAATGCCATGTCATGTAAACAATAAAATTTTAGGATTAATAATGTTTTAGGCCTCCCTCAGGCTATTATTAGCTTAGCCTGCTATATCCTAAAAACGGTTATGTGTAGTAGGTTTAGTGAGGCCTAAACAAAATCCATAGCTTTGAAGAAAATAAATAAATAATCCCGAATCAGCTTCTTTTTTTTTTAAGTGATATGTAACTTCTCCTTTGTCGTTTTATCTGCAGTCTCCAAAAACAGTAAGGCCGCAGGTCTGGCCCCCCATCTAACACCCTTTGAAATGCTTGAATCTTGACTACAGCCCACCAAAAAGTGTCTCTTTCACGTGGGTTTAATGTCACTCATACGTCCCCGTCGTACAGGCTGAAGTACTTGCTGGCGTTAGTGAAGCAGAGGTAAGGCGTGCTGCTCCCCGGGTAGACCACGGGCAGAGGCATGGGCAGCAGGCACCTCCCCAGCAGGTTGCTCTCTTTGTACAAGGCCGGGAGCTGCCCCACCACCATGGGCTTTCCAGTCTCAGGGAAATCGCTAACAGGTCCATCAATTTCGGTTGAGATCTGCCGTTTCAATTTATTCCTGCGATTCTGAAACCATATTTTGACCTGGGTCTCCGTGAGCTGCAGGGAACTGGCGAGGCAGGCGCGCTCTGCGCTGCTCAGATAGCGTTTCATGTCGAAGGTAGACTCCAACTGAAAGATCTGTCTCTTGGAAAAAATAGTGCGCGTTTTCTTTTTCGTGATCATTTTGCTCTTCTTGACGGGGCTGTCACCTTTGTGGATGTCCGTGGCCGTGGTGGTGGAACTGCTGTCGTCGCAGCTGCTGTCCCCGCTCTCGAAGCGCACCTCCGTCGCCTTCTTCGGGTCGCCGCGGCTGATGATGACCGAGTCCGCTGCTCCCCTGCAGTCTGTCAGCAACTCTGCGAACAAAACGAAACTTTCTTTAACCCCCTGTCAACTGTGCTGCTACAACTGTAGGCTAATATGGTGCGTAATGGTGACACATAACACGAAGTCGCTGCACACACCTACAGTTCCAAATGAACAAACCCCTCTTACCTCTGTCGTTCAGTCTGCTGCCCGGGTCTTGTCGCTGCTGGGCTACGTGCTCCTCGTGGTGGCTCTGGAAGACGTCTTTACGCATGACCGTGGCGGAGCCGCCGTGCACTCCGGCGGGGTGACAGCTGTCCCGGTTCCTCCCGCTTGTCTTGAGATTGAGGATGTTGTCAATGGTGAATTTCAGAGAGGCGACGGGTCGGCATGGTGCGTCCACTTTGTTCATATTCTCCAACGCGTAAGTCCTTTTTCTTGTTTACTTCCGCGTCTATCCTCGCATTTAAGTCTCACCCGGGACGTTAATCTGACCACTAACGTATCGATGCTGCACGCCCCATTACCATAGCAGCAGCCACTGAGCAGACACTGCTGGGCTGGCGATACTCTGCCTCTATCGCTAACTACACACCGGATGGGGCAAGCGCTGTCCTCGCTCATTGGTCAAGATGAGCGTGCAGTACGGACCAATGGCAGCGAGGGGATGGGATGTGAAAGGAGGGCGGGACTCCCTCTCCTCCACTCAACCTCTTTATCGTTATACATCTGCTGCAAGGAGAATCGGCCGGGGTCCGCCGCCCTGCAGTGCTTCCTCAGGAAAATAAAGAGTTTAATGTCACTGTTATTTCACACCATGCTGTATGTGCGCCTTGACACACACATTTAATGGTGGTTTTGATGTCCTGCACCATCTCTGTGAAGTTCGGCCAGGCGGCTTGATTCGAGTCAGACGATTAGTGTGTGTGCAACCTAAAAGCAAATCAGATCATCTCTGGGCTCATATCTTGAGTTGTGTTTCTTGGGGAAATGTGCATAGTATTTCTATAAACACTTTTACTTGTTCACATTTAAAATGTGATTAATATATTTTTATTTGCGAGTTTGGCTACTTTTAGTATTGTATAACCTAACGGTGAACAACATGACATAATTGCTTGTCCAAATGTATACCTCGTTGCATTTTTTTTTTTGAATAATTGTTCACTGTACCCTATTTGCAAGTTATACATTTGCAAATTAAAATAATAATAGCTTTAGATGAATATTGCCTCGTGGATTTGTGAATACAATATTCGGCTATTTTATTTTGGTGAACAGTGTAATTAGATGACTGCACATTCCATGTATTATCTTTATTTTTTAAATTGTTTTAATCGAAAATACATTAACATCTATACTTGCTCAGCTAATATTGACGCAGATAATAATAGCTTGGATAATCATAACAGAGGCCTACTTGTAGTCAGAAATACTGCAAGTGTACACAAGGTTAAAACAAATGTATATCCGAAAACTACAGTTTTCGTGTTCTCAGCCTTGATTTCTCATTGTGTCACAGAGCACACGTTCAATTCATTCTCTATAAACATTTCTCTGCAAGTTTATTGACAGAGGAAGACACATTTTTTTTGGGAGAGGGGATCCCTCCTCTGTTGCTCTCCCTGAGGTTTCTCCCATGTTTCCCTTTAAACTGTGGGGTTTTCTCCGGAAGTTTTTCCTTGTACGATGTGAGGCTCTAAGGACAGAGGGTGTCGTATTGTCATACTGATATTCTGTACAAACTGTGAAGTCCACTGAGACAAATGTAACATTTGTGATATTGGTATATATAAATAAAAATTGATTGATTGATTGATTTTAGGTAATTGGGTATTCACAATCAATAGAGAAACAGACAAGTTTGTGCTTATTTTTTTATTCATCTATTATGTGGAAAAGTGACAAAGTTTGAAAAATGTGTGGCTTTAAATATAAAAGTTTGCAAAAATATGTGTTTTCAAACATACATACAGTAAGCAGCTTCGGCCTTGCTGTGACAGGGGCACAGATTTATGAACAGATACAGATGATTCATCATTTTGTGTTAATGTCTCTGCGGCTCTCATCTTTGGGTGTGGGTTATTGCACGACTCAGTATGAACAGGGTGAACTCATGTTTCAAACAGTTTATATATGACAGTCTTTACACCAAGCCGGTCATCTGCGATCTTAACAAGCTCATGGAGTGAGCGAACGAGGACAGAGGGTAGCTGGAGAATCCGGCTAAGGGTGCAGAAAGTGGATGTCCGTTCATGGTGAAGCCCAGTGCAGCAGTGTGTCCGGGGCCCTCGTGATAGAGAATGGGGACCCTGACAATCCGCTGGGTGGAGTGTGGGACATGTGAAGCCTCGAGGTCTGCCGCCAGCTGCCTCTTCCACTTATTTCTCCGGTTCTGGAACCAGATCTTGACCTGAGTCTCCGTCAGGTGGAGGGACGCTGCCAGACCCGCCCTCTCCGAGCTGCTCAGGTACCGCTTCACGTCAAAGGTGGACTCCAGCTGAAACACCTGACTGCGGCTAAAAACGGTGCGGGTCTTCTTCTTCCGGGTGGAGCTCGGGTCTTGCTCTGACCGCGCGTCAAAGCCGTTGTGCATTTCCTCGTTGTCGTCTGTCAGGTTGCTGTCCCCTGTCTTCCTGTCGGTCTCGTCGCTGTCCTCAGTTATCGGTTCGGATACTGCTGGGGAGCCCCTGTCACTGGTCGATATGGAGCTACAGTGGTCACCTGGACTTGTATTATCTCTTGGACCTGAACGGAGAAAAAAACATGAGTGACCTGCAAAGCAATCTAAAACAAATTGCTTTAAAACGACTGCCCTACTTCAGTGTTGAATCGTGGAGGAATAATGAATTCCACTGGAATACAAACTAAAATGTTTCAGCTGAACGATAGACAAAGTTATGAAGTAAAAAATAAAAAAGACAATTTGCCTTTATCTGACATTTGCACTAACCTATTTACTTTTGTGTTTTGAAGCTCACCAGTTGGTGAGATTATTGGCAAAGCTACGGTGCGTTGATTGGATTGCACCATCAATGAAGTTATCAGGCTCGTTTATGATTCAGATAATGAATTAATAATTATTAATAATAATTCTAACCACACATTTACCGATTTACTGTGTGGGCATCACTTCTAAACACAAGGGTGGATTTTGAAATTCTGAAATCCAACTATTTTACTGTTCAGGGATGGGCACTTTGTTTTTATGATGGCGCGTGAGTGACATGTGTGAAAGTATCACTTTGACGTGCTTTGCTTCTGCGCATCTGTTTTGGGTTGTATTCTGGACATTTGTGCGTAATCCACGTGCGTAATCCTCAAACAGAGGCACAGGTCTCCTAATAACAACCAACTAATACTATACACTGGTTGTGTGCGGTAGAGGACCAATTGTGCTTCTGGTGATCCGCCGCAAAAAACCTTCAGTCTTGTCTCACAGATTGATGCAATCCCTGGTTTCCGTAAAAATGCACGTAATACAAGGCAAGGGATCGGTGGTTTTTAAAGCAGTCTGGGAGGCTCTGTGAGCTCCGGGTTACAGAGAGAGGAGCCACACTTGACTCGTTCTTCTGACTGTTAGTTTTGTTTAATGAGGCGAGAAACTTCCAAGCTGGCTTTCTATATACTCATGGTTCTACATTAACCTTATTAAATAAACGACCTGACGGCCTGAATATAAGGCACCAAACAATGGATGTGAATAAAAGATGAATAAATGTGACCTAGAACCGACAACCCTATGGCACTACTGCTGTCCTTTTTTAAATGGTTATGTAATATTCTAAAACAAAACATAGCCTATATACAAATATATGTATGTTTATACAAAATAATAGGTAAACTGAAACTCTATTAAATCCTCACTAACACACCAGCAATAGCAGCATCACACTGTTGTCTTTAAGGCTATATTTGCTCGCACCTTTGCTTTAAAAAAAATCTATTTTCAGGACTTCTCAGCGACTCTCTACTCACTTTGTGGTGTTTCCAGAGCTCTGAAGTTTAAGGCATTTGCCCCGCGGTACCACTGTAAGGGCGAGTCTCTGTACGGGGACCGAGCTGTGGAGCTACAGCCATCCGGCTCTGGGGCGCTCACATCGGCGTGATGTGCCTTCAGGACTCCGTCCGAGGAGCCGGTCTCCACACCGGCTTCCCCGCGACTCCTGTCCGTGACCGACTCATGTTTATCCGTCCCTTTGCCTAGTATGTTCTCGATAAAAAAAGAAGACACTCTCGATGAAGTGGGAGTCCCGTTGTCCTTGAGCTTCTCCTGCATGTTTTGTCCCCGATTTCACGCTGCTTTTACGCAAACACCGAGCGAATAGTTTGTTTGTGCGTTAAGGCAGCCTACGGTCCAAACTTTCATTTCGAGCGATGCTGCTTTTGCTCCTGGATCGGATATGGAGTCATTGCAGGGACAGGACGGGGATCTCCTCGGTGCTAGCGGGAGGAGAGGGAGACGGAAGCTGTAATACAGTGAGACGTCAAGTGAACGCTCCACGAGCCGAAGGCATCCAGCGATTGGACGAGCACAATAGCAAATGGGGTTTCCGGGGAAAGGATAATTACTGTCATCCCTCTGGTTTGTGTGTGCGTCTGCGTGCGCGTGTGTTCACATCCCCTCGAGGCCATGCAGCCAAGAGAGAGAAAACCTCTGTTCGTGGTACAGCACTCTTTATTTAGGTCAATTAAATTAAAAATCAAAATAAAGATCCACTTGACAGGGCATGTCTTCCCCCCCATGTCTTCTCTGAAATATGAAGGTATAGTCAGGACCCTGTCGATATTAAAGAGCATCATGCAGGTTTTTATTTTTTCTACATTTATGCTTAAACTTGCTTAAAAATTACAATTAAAAAAACTGGATGCAGGATTTGATATGTTTTACGAGACATAAGGGCAGGAATTCAGAGGGAAAGGAGCAATTTTGAGCTCTGCTCTTAAAAAAGGCTTTTTTTTAAGGTCATACGTCAAACGCGTCATATTACATCACACAGGGGACACATCTCTGCTCTCTGACCGCGGGTATAGTGGAGTTGCGTTGAGTAGAGCGGTTGTGTTTTAAGGAGCTGGTATTTTTCGGTAGTTTTAAATTGTATTTCACCATTTGTAATCATGGTGCAGTATTGTGTTTGTGCAGGTTGCACAAATACCAGCCTGTCAGGACATCGAGTCCACAGTAAAAAGGACCGGAGCTAGCGTTCGTTCCTGGGTGCGTTGTGCATCCACCTCCCTGCAGCACATACTCTCCACAGCTTTATCAGGAAACCGTATTACTTCTCTCCCCCCCCCCCTTCGCCCCCTTCGCTGGCTCTCTCTCTCTCCCTCCGGTACACGGCACCGTAAGACATAGTGTGAGTTCGCATTAGGTAACGCGTGGTGGATGTACTGCTCCAGCCGTCTCCTTTGTGTTTGTTTGTTTCCCCCTGTCTTTGTTGGTTTGTGTGTGCGTGGTGGCTGTCACTCCTGGCCCCCGGCTCAACCTCACACTCACCTGCTTGCAATCAGCTTGCACCCTCCCCCGACTACACACCTGCCTTTCCATCAAGCCATTACAACGAGCATATTGTTTTTTTTTAACCGCTGCTGGAGAGGACGCTGGCGTTTCGACTGTTCCGCTTCTCCGCCTCTGTCCACTCTACACCTCCACGCCTCAGCTACCACATGTTGGGGTTTTCAACTCTTTCGAATTGGATCACTGCCCTGCATTTACACATCTTAATGCAATGCACATTGGTTTGTAAATTTTACTTATTTTGGACTTCTTCCTCCGTTGCTGGCTGTAGCCGGCTGCCCTCACGTAGCCCATCAACGTGCCGGGCGTGGCCGCTATTGCCTATCTGTCTTACATCGCCTACTGTCTGTCCTCCGTCCCATCGCAACAACGTGGACTCTCTCTCCTCCTGCGTTCATCCATCTGGGTGCATTCGTCCCGTCCCGCTGCTCACAATCCTCTCTGCCATGGTCGTGGATCTTCCTCGTCTCCACAACAATCCTCCAGCCTCTGTGAAACCGAGCCCGCCTAGCTGCTATCGCTTGCCATCCCACTGCTCCCAGCCATTCCGCCTGTCATCATGCTGAAATACTCCATCTCACAGCTGCTGTCATTGACCAACTCTCCACTCCCGGTCTTGCCATCTCAGTCATCAGACATCTGGACTCCTTCGTCGGACCCCGCTACAATTCATCCGAAGCACCCGCCGCAGTTTGTTTACCTTCAGCAGGACAATCCTTGCATCCATCTGCTCCACGCAACCACTGTTACACACCTGACGCGTCATCAGAACGCAACTGCCTACTACTGCTTCTCTTACCTTCCCCGCTCAACTACATCTCCCACCTTGCACGGAATACCTGGCGGATCCCACTCCCCTCCGCCTCCCAACACATATATAACAAGCCATTTCTCCCCACCATCAAGCCCCCCTCCTCTGCTCAACGCCCCCCCCTCATGCCACACCGCGCTGCTAACCTAGACAACTTCATACCTCTCCAGCCTGCCACACCCTACAACCCCCCACCTTGACAAATTTTGCCCTTCTAAATATACGGTCACTCACAATAAAGGCCCACATCCTTCACGAACTCATCCTGGACAAATCATACGACTTCCCTTCTGCTCACTGAAACCTGCAACCACCAATGACTTCTTCTCGTTAATCAAACATCCCCCTTGTTTTTATTACATCACAAACGCCGCCCTCACGCCAGTGGGTGGTGGGCTGCTGTCATCACAACCAGAACATCCGGACTACCAGACTCACCCTCCCCTCAGTACCATCCTTTGAATTTCTCGCCCCTCCACCCCTAAAACCCACCCCTCCTTCCTCTCTGATCTCACTGAACTCCTAACCATTGCTTCATCCCTCCCCTACGTCTGTACTCCTCGGCACCTAACATGCCACATGGACTCCCACCCTGCAAACAGCGCTTCTGAATTTCCTCCCTCTGGACAATTCTCATTTACACAACATGTCACCTTCCCACCCACGGTAGGAACACATCCCTTGACCTTGTCTGCTCCACCAACCTCACAGACGCCTCCACCCCTGCCCCTTTCCCCTCTCCTGACTCACAACTCATACAGTTCACCCGCCTCCCGTCCGCCGCCCCCATCCAGGAACTCAACGTTCCGTAATTACGCTCTGTTCATTCCCTCTCATTAGTTTCGCAGTGATAGGTCCTCCACCTCGATCTAACTGACTCTGGAAGATATTTCGATAGCACTCGCTAGATTTTTTCCACTCAAAAGAAATGTATCTAAAATATTTAGAGTGTTAAAATGCAATAAAAGTAGGTGTGTCCGATGTAGCCAGTGTGTGTCTTTGATCCAACATTGATTTTGAGTGATTAGGGCTCCCCCTGAGGATCGAACCCTCAGCTCACCCGATGATCAACTGCAAACACCTTAATTCAACACCTAACTTCGCCTCCCCATAGCGTTGGCCCCCTGCAAAAGGAAAAATGTCACTTTTAAACCTCCTCACCCTGGTTCACCCTGCACTCGTAAACTGAGCAAAACCGGCGCCAGCCTGACGCCTAAACATGAAACCCATCCTCACAGTTCACCATGATTCCTACAAAAACTCCATCGTCACTACCCCATACAGAGACGCCTCAATGCCGCAAAATCGCGTACCTCTCCACCATCTCATCGACCCTCCCCGTAACCCCAGGACCGCTCATTCTCCACCGAGTCAACAAGCACTCCCGTGTCTGACACTCCTTCCTCCACTTCCACATTCAGGTTTCATTCCTCCAGTTTTTTATCTCGTGAAAAAATCACTGCCATTAATCACTCCTAATCCGCCTGCATCTGACACACAAAACATCTCCCCCAACATCCCGCACAATTTCCTCCCTCCACTCCCTTGAACTCCGAGCCTCCACCCCAACGGCATTCTCTCCCAGCTTCAACTCTGTTAACCCCCCCTGAAATATCTCCAACTGATCAGCTCCGTCCAAAACCACAACCCGTGGCTCGTGACCCCTCTACCGCACCCCTGCTTTCTGAATCCTGCCTCCCGTCCTCTGCCCCTACCCAATTGGTCAACCTTTTTCACTCCTCCCCTGTACCGAAGGAAACCGTTCCCTCTGCCTCAAAACGTGCTGCCTGCAATCTCCCCATTCCT